TTTTAATTTTATTTATCACATGTAAAATCAATAATTCATATGAGTAAACTATAAAGTAAACCATAATTTATAGTTTTTTTAATCAAAAATTAAATCCAATCAAATAATCAAAAATATAATTATGATTAAAATTAATCATAATTATAATAAATCATATTTATCAATTTATAATTGAGAATATGAATTAAATTTCTCAATTTTGATAAAACCATAAATATTTGAAATGGAATAAATCAGAAATATGTGAATGGCAGAACTGTAATTTTGGCATAAATTAAACCCGAGGGTAAAACCGTAAATATGTTGACAGAACATAACCTGAAATTACGAAATTTACAAGGGTAAAACTATAATTTTCATAAAACCCTAGCCTCGAGGGCAAAACCATAATTATACCAAAAACCCTAATCTGCCTTCGCCGCCGCCGCTGCCTACGACGTGGCCGCTTGTACGCGGCTGCGGGCTGTAGCCTTACGCGGCTGCCAGCGACAGTTCTAGCCAGCGCACGATCGCTGCCACCACGGCACTGCCGCCGACCCGCACGTGGCTGTTGCCAGCACGCAGTCGCCACCTGTGCACGGCCGTCACTTGGCCTATCTGCACGTCTTTGATCCAAGATTGCTGTAGCCAGCCACCAATCCAAAGTTGCAGGCACCGTCAGATCCTTTCTCCTCTCTTCCGCTCTCCTAGCCCCTAGAAGTCCTGTCCTTTTATAGGCGAGAGCAAAGGGTCTACGATGAGATCTCAGGAACCAATTGGACTTAGTCTATTGACTAAGATATCTGAACGGAACCCAATTAATTATTATATTATATATCTTATACAATTATAAAAGGACCACGTATTCTAACACATAGTGCTTATGCTTACCTTTGTATAAGCTGCATTTCCATATTTAACAGCCCTGATGTAAGGATTAAAACCAATTCAAAAGGACAACAAAGATGCCGTTCGAACCTTAATAACATTCCTGTCATTATAGGAGCTCCGATGGACCTCCTGTAATGGACAAGCTCTAAATCCAGTGAAAGTATTTCGGCAACTTATGCGTAGACACCATGCCGGTCCAAAACATTAAAACACCATTGACATCGTACATGCATAGCTCACACGCATTAGATCCATCACAAATTTCGATAATCAGTGGATAATTAACATAAAACATCACTGCGCTAATACATACCCTCCCATTAAACCAAGAAAACCGGTAAGTTCTAAGGAAACGCAAAGATCTGAAATGGCTCGACAAAAATAGATGGGAAACTGGAACTTGCCACGGACGAGTCTTTCTTTGTGATCACAACATTTGTCTGTCCAGCGAGTTTATTGCTAAACGTAAATAGGAAATATAGACCGAATGTAGCTCATCAGATTAGGTCTGCGACATTGGATGGCAGCTCCTCGATCACCACATTGTAAAACCTTTGAATGTCAAACAACATTCTTTCATCGTCACGGGTGACAAAGTTGATTGCCACACCCTTTCTCCCAAAACGGCCACTTCGCCCAATACGATGAAGATAGTTCTCTGGCTGGGTCGGCAGATCAAAATTTATAACCAGGGAGACCTGTTGCACATCGATACCACGAGCAAGAAGATCAGTGGTGATGAGTACACGAGAGGAGCCAGAGCGAAACTCTCGCATTATAATATCCCTAGTGTTCTGATCCATGTCTCCGTGGGTTGCTGAGACCGTATGATCCCTGCTCCTCATTTTGTCAGTCAGCCAATCTACCTTGCGTCTAGTGTTGACAAAAATTACACTCTGTGTGATGGCCAACGTCTCATAGAGATCACACAAGGTCTCGAGCTTCCACTCTTCCTTCTCTACATTGACATAGAATTGCTTGATACCCTCCAAAGTGAGCTCATCTCGCTTCACAAGGATTCTCACAGGCTTGTTCATAAACTTGTGAGTAATCTCAAGAGCCTCGGGAGGCATTGTGGCAGAGAATAAGCCAACTTGAATTTTAGAAGGAAGCAGCTGAAAGATGTCATATATCTGAAAAGGAAAGTCCATAAACAAACAGTCCATACAGCTTTTCTTTCAGGAACAATTAAGAAGGGTATAGAGATGATATGAAACCAAGCCACAAAAAAAAAAAAAAAAAGACATAAAACCAGTTGCACATAAGAATCATGAATGACTTCATATGAGAAGATTCAAAGGTAAGCCAGATTGCTCATCACAGAATTGAGCATATGAAACAAATCGCCAGATATCTGTGGAATACATAGATGTAGCGCCATTTTATGACAGCTAAACAGAAACAAAAATTGATAAATAGTAACACTAACACAGCAAAGAAAAAAGTATGCTTTTATATGGCATACAACTACATATGACACAAATCTTTAATTCACAAGCAACAAATGTTTTAGCATCAGAAGGAATAGTCACGAATCCAAACAATATTAAGATGCAGTACAAATATAAAGCATCATTTGATTAACATACGCGAGCGATTTAGCACCAGCAGTGACATTTTAAGTTGATTAAATTCATCCATAGTATTAATAATCCTTAGTGAAATCACATTTAACGCCTGTCCTTTTAATTATACTAAAGAAAACACAAAGCCTTGTTGAAAATCAAATTTCACCAAAACTATCAACTATGATCTCAGAAAACACTTTATTAGAGATTTCCTTAAGCTAGTGTGTTGTGTAATTCGTAATCAACATTACAGATTTAACTATAAATTTTTTGGATACTTGTACTAATGTGAACCTATCGTATATGAATATGAATACTTCTTAAAAAAAGAAACACTTTTTAATTTCTGCAGACAGCAGTAAATTCACACTGAAATTTGAAAAAAGCAGCACACAATAAATCATCTGATGAATTCACAATACAAAATACTTTCAGTGAAAGTGAGAAAAAAGAAAAATGTTTTTTTTTTTGCAACTATTAAATGGGTATTAAGGGCACCTGATCCTTGAAACCACGAGAAAGCATTTCATCTGCCTCGTCTAGAACAAACATCTTGATGTAGTCAGGGCGGAGAGACTGTCTTCTTAACATGTCAAATACACGACCAGGTGTCCCCACTACGACATGAACCCCACTAGAAAGAATCCGCTGGTCTTCACGAACACTAGTTCCTCCAACACAAGCATGAACTTTGACGCCAAGATAATCGCCAAGTGCACGCATCACCTTTTCAATCTGCTGTGCTAATTCACGAGTTGGAGCAAGAACCAAAGCCTGACACTGTACCAATCCATAATCAAGCTGCTGCAATATACCAGCACAGAATGTTGCAGTTTTTCCGGTCCCTGATTGTGCCTGTTGAATGACATCAAGTCCCTTGCAGAAAGGAACAATACCTCTTTGTTGGATTGCAGAGGGTTTTTCAAAACCTGAAGTTCACAGAAATAGAAAAAACAAATGCTACCAGCTTAAACACCACTTCCGTTAAATAAACTTCTTGAACAAGTAAAAGAAAGGAGGGAGTTTACCATATGCATAAATGCCCCTTAGAAGGTTCTCTTGGAGACCCATAGCATCAAAACTATCAAAAACCTCATCATATGAGGCAAAAAAATCCTGTCCATCTTGTGAAATCCTGCTCTCTCTCATACATAGCACACCCAACATCAGTAAACCTTTCACGATAACTCATTTAACAAGAATCACATCATGTACGGATAAGTTACTAGCAAAATATAATAGGGAAAAAAAAGGTAAGAAACAGTACAGCTCATTCATTTTGGCATCATATTGGCGAGCATCGAATTGCGATCCTTCAGGTGCCATTCCAGCCATGATTGCTGAAATCAAACCAAAGAAAATGACTAAAAAAGTGACAAGTAACAAATAGATCAAATGTGGTAATAGGTCACATGGTACAATTGAAGAAGACCCTATGATAATGAAAAAGAAAAATCTTCAACAGATGATAAGCAATCTTCGCTGCCATCAAAACACGAGATTCAAAAGTAAAAATAGTATAACAACAACAAAGCCATAAAGTATCAACTATTTGGGATCGACTGCATGTATCTTCTGCAACCATTGTCAAAAGTAAAAGTAGTGATACAACTAATTCAATGAAAAAAAGAAAATAATTCGCTGTATCCATTCGCATTATTGATCTTACATCCATCCTAATGTAAAAGAAGTCAATCAAAATATCTAGATTTTGGAATATAGGTAAGGAAAAGATCGTATCCTGATTCCTGAAGGTAAAATAGTGAACTGAAATTAAAAGGATTGGTTGAATTTTTTTGCATAACAGATGGAAGTTGCAATTATCAAGAATTGGACATTCATGATAAAGCATGTAGCAACACAAAGTCTAGGCATAGAGATCTCAAACAATTATGTTGTTTACTCTCAATCCTAAGCCTATGGATCAAAGAAAGAATAACTAATTATTTCAAGTAAACATATTATAATTACAAAAATATTCAACTTATTATCTTGTTACCAAGTTTGTCGAATATATATATGTAGGAATTAAAAAAAACCACAACAACAACAAAGCCGTAAGTCTCAACTATTTGAGGTCAGCTACATGAATTTTTTGCCTCTAACGAGATATGTAAAAAGTTATATGTTTAATTAAACTCAAAATATTTAAATCTTTATTTATAATTTTTATTAAAATATTGTTAGATCTTCCTCTATCACTCCTCGTACTATTAATATTAATTATTTCACCTCTTTTGATTATTGCATCCAAAAGTCTCTTTAGCACATGCCCATATTATTTTAAATGATTTTCTCTCATCTGATCATCTATCGAAGCGATACCTTGTTGTTAACGAATAAAAGTATTTATTTTACTATCTTTCCTAGTAACTCCACACATCTATCTCAACAACACAAACTTTTTGTATATTTTTTTTCTGAACTGCTCAACACTTAGATCCATAAAGTATTGTTGGTCTTACAACTATCTTATAAAAAATTTCTTTTAATCTCAAAGATATCTAATGATCACACATGACTCCTAACACCCCTCACCATTTTAACTATCCTGTTTTTACTCTATGATTAATATCTTCATCGATTTCTCCATCTTGTTAAATAATTGATCCAAGATACCTAAAACTTTTGCTTAAAGAAATTTCTTATCCATCAAATTTAACTATATTCTATAGTCTATCTCTAGATTTACTAAAATTACATTTTATATATTCAATTTTAGTCCTACTTAATCTAAAACCTTTAGTTTCTAAGGATTGCCTCCATAACTCAAGTTTATAATTAATTTCACTTAGGCTCTTATCAACTAAGACAATATCATCAACAAATAACATACACCAGAGAGATGTATCATGTAAGTACTAGTAAGTTTATCAATTATCAATGTGAAAAGGTAGGAACTTAACACGGATCCTTGGTGTAATCCTATGCTAATAGGAAACTCACCATACACGTTCCCTATATTTCTAATACTAGTAACTACATTATCATACATAACTTTAATAACATCAATATACTTAGAGAATATACCCTTCTTTTCTAAAACCCACTATAATAAATCTTTTGGAACCCTATCATAGGCTTTCTCTATGTCAATAAAAACCATATGCGAATCTTTTTTTTTCTCCCTATACTTTTCCATTAATTGATTAATAAATAAATAGCTTCTATGGTTGATCTTTCAGGTATAAAACTAAATTGATTTTCAGAGATATTTGTTTCAAGTCTTATCCTACTTTCGATAACTCTTTCCCAAAGTTTCATAATATAACTCATGATTTTAATTTTTCTATAATTTAAATAATTTTGTTTGTCATCCTTATTTTTTTAAATTGATATTAAAAAACTCTTTCTCCATTCATCAGTCATCCTTCTAAATCTCATGATTTTGTTAAATAAGTTAGTTAACCAAGCTACTCCCTTATCCCCTAAACTTTTTTAGACCTCAATAGAGATATCATCATACCTCACACTCTTAACTATTTTCATCTTCTTTAATGTATCTTTTAATTCATTAGCTCTAATTTTACAAATAAATCTAAATTATTAAATCTACCACTATTATTTATCATTAAGTCTAAATCATGTATGAAATATTCATCAAATAATTTATAAAAATAATTTTTTCATCTTTATTTAATCTCATTATTATTAACAAGTATTCTTTGATCTTCGTCTTTAATGCATCTAATATTACCTAAATCCTTACACTTTCTTTCCCTAATCTTAGCAATTCGATATATATCTTTTTCACCATCTTTAGTACCTAATTTATTTTAAAAATTATCATAGGTTTTATATCTTGTTATACTAACCTTTTTTTAGTCTCTTTTTCAGATTCTTTATATCTTTTAAATTTTTCCTATTTTTATAATTTTGTCAAACTTTAAAACATGATCTTTTAGTAAAAATTATTTTTTGAACTTCCTCGCACCACCACCAACTCTCTCTTAAGGTTACACCTCTACTTTTAGTTTCATCAAGAATCTCCTTTGTTAAGCTCTTAAATATTATTAGTCATCATAGTCTAAAAAATATTAATATTATCCACATCTAAGTTCCAAGTCGTCTCCCTTTCCATCTTATTCTTAAAAGTATTTATATTATCATCTTTAAAATTTCACCATATAGTCTTAGTATTTTTTTTTATTGTCTTTTTCTTCTTTCATTTTCTATAATAAATATCTAATACCATCAACCGATGTTGATTTGTCAAACTTTCATCATGTATAGCAGTATAATTCTTACAAATAATTTTCTCTACCTTTCTAGTGAGAAAAAAGTCTATTTGACTACAGTTATGACAACTCTTAAAGGTAATTAATTATTTATCTCTCTTCTTAGAGTGTGTGTTTACAAAATTACAAAATTGCAAAATCCAAAATTATAAGATCATACACAATTGTAAAATCCAAAATCATACCACCATCTTCATTTCTCTCCCTATAACCAAGGCCCCCATGCACCACTTTATGTTCACCATGTTTTCCCTACATGATCATTCAAAGTTCACCATGTTCCCTACATGATCATTCAAATCACCTTCAAATAAAAGTTTTTCGATTATAGACATTCCTTGAATGATATCATCAAAGCTTTCCAAAATTCTCCTTTTGTTTGATCATCCAATCCGACTTGAGGTACATAAGCACTAATGACATTCAATACAACTTATCCTTTCACAAATTTTAGAACTATAATTCTATTTTCAAATCTCTTTACATCTATAACATTGCTCTTAAGATTCTTATCAACAACAATTTCTACACCATTTCTATATTTAACTTTTTCAGTATATCAAATTTTAAATTCAATACTATCAATCTCTCTAGATTTTTCTCTTACCCACTTAGTCACTTGTAAGCAAATAATAATTATTCTTTTTTTGATCATAGTATCTACCAATTCTAATACCTTCAAGTGTTCCTATATTCCAAATTGCTAACTTAACCCTTTGTTCTTGGACTAACTTCTTTACTCTCATTGGTCCAAAACAATAAGAGAACCCTTGCCTACTTGGCATCACATTCGAGTGCCAATGTGATGGGTCACTTCCCAGCAATCTCCTAACCCACCGTTTGTAATTTGGGACACCTAGGTGGTGAAGGTGTCATGCGTCACTTCCAGGTGATAACCTAGCTTTATACTAAGATCGGTTAAGATCCATATTCATAAGATCTGACATAGTTTTATACTGGTTGTCAGTGACCTAACGTAACCCTCTACCTTTGTCATACATAGGAAATAGGAATTAGAACAAACCACAAAAATGAATGTATAGATATAAGGGGTACATATGACCAATTCGAAGACTCAACGAATGTGAAGGTTATGCAAACAAGGGATGCAGTAGACTGGATTAAGACGTTCTCTAGGACTGAATGATCTCAGATTGTGTTGGATAAAACTGCAAGAATACTGAAACAGCATCAATAATATGAGGATATATCAAAGCATTGTAGGATTACTTTCTTACTGAGAAGATTAGAAATGTCCTCAGAGTGATCACCATGCTGCTGTAACAGAAAGCAAACAGCAAGTCCAACAACCCTATGTAATGGATCTCAGCAAGTTGTGGAATATAATCTAACGTAGATGAAAATAAAGATTTAAAGAAAAGAGAGAAAAAGATACAAATAGAGAACAGAAGGGGGAGAAGAGAGATCAAACACCACTGCCAATCACTGAATTGCTCGTTGAACCTCGTAACAAAGCCTATAGTTATCAGCCGAGTACTGTAGCACATTAATGTCAAAAGTGATGTCGGCTAAAATGCATGTACATCTACATAACTCAGCATCAAGATCATACCATAAAATATGCTTACAATGAAAAAGCACCACTTGTATTTTATACTGCATTTTATCAATTTCCTTATATGTGCATAAATGTCTAAAATTCCAAATATTAGGAATGTCTAATTTAATTGCAGTTCTCACTATTTTACTACAGAGAAGGCATCATCTGGTATGTTTCTGAGAAACCAAATCATAATGCATCACTAGGCACCAGTTTTCATTTTTCCCTGCCACAGATGAATTGATCACTCATAAATATAGAGGGGCAAACAAGATTCTTTGATGTGCAATATATGATGCTCGAATCGAAATTGAAATGTCAGTATGAACAATAAAGGGCCCCCATCTAAATTGGCTAAGAAACTGCCCTGAAAAATCTTTAAACATCCATCGACCTTACCACAATGCAGTGTACCAATAGACAATAATATCATGAGAATATCCAAAAGTGAGCCATCATGAACAAGGAACGTTTGCATATAAGCAATTCATGGAAGTTAGCTAATGGGCAGCACTGTTGGACCAACCAAAAAAAAATTATAAAGAATATAATAAAAGCTTAAGATCACAAAGTCCCCTAGAAAAGTGTGTTCCAGTGGCAGAACAAATGAATCATACAAAAATATCAGATATTACATAAAGTAAAGGCACACAAATCAATAACTTATAATCTTACCATGAAAAAGAGATATCAAAGGACTAAGTTGATGAGCAATAACTAAGAAAAGCAAAATCAGTTATTGAAAAGAAAGTAAATATGCACTTGTTTAGTCAGGAATACTTTCAATTGCGATCAAGTATAACCAATAAACTAAATAAGACCTTCCATAAGCACAGCAGATGCATTGTAAAGCAACTCCAGGGGATCACATATAACAATGTAGGATACTATGTAAGGAAAAACTTATATACGAAAAAGCAACACCAAAATGGTCAAAGATTATGAGCGAAATTACTTGAAACCAAATGGAGTTATCAGAATACACAAGGTATTTAATGCCATATGTTTTTACATGCTTAATAAAGGAACAATGCACAAATCTGTCACTAGTATGTATTCATCAAATCTAATACATTGATCATCTTAATCAATGGTAAGATAAGGTTGCACACGTGCCTTACTGACAATTTAATCAACTAGGCTTATGCTAAATTCTTCTAAGCAGTTCAGAGAAGACATAAAAACTAGCAACAAAATATTCTCGTAGTAAGTTGTATTCCTATTCACCATCATTATGAGCAAGAGAAAATATTAAATACACGTCGATGAAATCTTTCAGACATATATAATCCATTCAGGTAAAGTACTCAAGAATATTACATGTCAGCTGAAGGTTGAACCAAAAGACAATATTTTGATCCTTTAATCTGATAAACGAAAATCTAACTAAAACTTGTTTATGACAGATATAAAAACTGAACTATCATCTCCTGGTTCCTCTGCTTAAAATCACCAATTTAGTTTGCATGTACGAGTGGCAGAGCAAGCCTATCACTAGTTTTACTTTTGTGTAAAACACAGCAACTTGTAGTCCTCAACGCATTAAACCTAATAAAAGATTTCATTCCACAAACATATTTATTAATCACATACTCGTAACACATAAATACAGTGGCTCCACACACATGCACATATTCAATGAGCTCCTAATGGGAGCTGGATACATCAAGGCCGCTCAAGATGAATATTTTCATCTCGATTTAACACAATTCCAATAGTTAACAAATTTTTTTTTTTTTAAAGTTTAGAAACCCAGTAACACCAATTAACATGACAAAAACATTGTTTTTTTTTGTAGTTCAAAGGCCCAGATCTTACTCTTCTCCTATCACTCACTAAAATCTCGAAGGAAAGATAGATATCAGATCGGACCAAAGTTCACAAACCGCATAAACCGTGTCACTTTAAAAGAAAGGAAAAGAATCAACCCACCAAACCTGAAATAAATGAAGAAAAATCTAAAACCCTCTCCCAGAGGGTCAGATCACGAAAAGCCCTGATGATCGAACGGGAATAGAACTCTACGCCCTCAGTCCGTTCATACATATTACAAATACAAAAAGGCAAAGCTGAACTGGGTGGAATTCCAAACGATGATAAAACGGAAACTTTCTTTCCGTTTCAAACCTGAATCGTTCCACCGTCTAATAAACCAGTCCGGTGAAGAAAATTAGCAGACAAATCAGAAAGGATAGAATAGAGATCCGATTGTTACCAAGGTAGCTCGAGAGAAGAATGTAGACGCGGGGGGCGATAGTGAGAGAGAGAGAGATGAGCCAAAGGCGATCCTTTTCTTAGGAGAGAGAAAGGGTCGGCCTTTTTTTCCTTTTTCTTAATTGCCCCCTTCTGCTTCTTTTATTTTGTGGTGAGTGAGGCAAAGTGAGTTCGGTGGGCAAACGACGTCAATAGCTATAGCTTTTGGATTCCTCCAATGCATGCATGTATGGCAAGGATGTAATTCGAGTATGTAATGTAACATTTACACGTTTAGTTCTATTAATGTCTGTATTAATTACTTTTTCCTTATTATAATGTTTGATGATAATATGGGACGATTTTCCAACTAGATATTCATATTTTTAGATTTTTCAAATAATATCTCTCTTTTCTTTTATTTTTTTTCTTAAACAGTATTCTTAATTCAAAAAATATCTCTCAAAATGTTTCTGCCTCTTATAGTATTTTTGGCTTATTAAAATGTTTTGACCACTGCAATAAAATCTATTTAAAAACACTATAAATGTTCAAAATAAACTTCTTATCTCAATCAAACCAACTACAAGTCTAAAACATAATATCCTAAAATTGTACTAGCAATAACAAGTAATATCAATATAAATAATATTAATAATATTAAAAAATACTATAAACAAGAAATACAAATATTGTAACTGATAAAAATTAATAAAAAAATTGATAGAAAAATTTTGAGGAATGTCTTAGATTTTTAAAAATTAAAGATACTGCTTAGAAAAAATCAAAATGGGAGGTATTGATTGAAAAATACTTTAAAAAAATACAATAATTTCCATGTGTAAATATAAAAATGATGTAAACAACATGTTCCTATATATATATATATATGAATGAATGACAGAACAAAATTGCTATATTTTTCAGAAGTGTTATAAAAATCAGAAATTGAGAAAATAAGATAACAGGCAATTACGGATGTATATCTCTATATATTACAGCATCTCTATTTGCATGCCACATTAAAATTAAGCACAATCCATTTGTAAAAGCATGTATGCCTAATAAAAACATACACTAACTGGGACGTAATCTAACATACAAAACACAATGAGTAGAGCAGCCAAATACATCTATACTAAACTTGAGACTTTTGATGCCTGCAAATTTACGGGGTGGCATCTTTAGCTGTCTAGAAAACGTCAGTGGAACAGTAGAAACAAACCTGACGAAGATATACCAAGCACGAACAATAGAATTTTTCAGCCTGGGGAATCTTTCATGGGAAAGGAAATGCCAGCATCAAGAATGTTACAAAAAACCATACAAAAGCTACAATTAGGAGGAGAATAAAGGTACAGTTACAAATCTAATTTTGGCTAGCAACACACATACCAACCCAGATCCTACCATATGCTATATTTGCCACCAAATATGATTCCTATACTAAATACCCTCGGAAATGTTGAGTCGAAGCATTCATTCTGAAGCCTCGCCTTGGACTACTTCTCAGCAACTTGTAATTCTACTGCAGCTTGATTATAGCTCCTCTTTCCACAACACGATCAATCTATTTTCACAGATGAATAGATCTTTCGGACAAACCATAAACAAGCATAAAAGCCAATTGTCCCCGTTAACACGAAGAATGCATATGACGTTATCAGCATGTACCCAAAATACAGAATCCCAGAGACCACCTTGGTTATCTCCAGCTTCGTGAAGAAATAGAACACAGAATATGCAAAGAGGTATAGGGCGGAGGAACCTGCAGTCAAATATGCCCTCCACCACCAGTGATAGTCCTCACTGCACAGCTGGAAGTAGCAAAGCACTATGGTTATTTCGGCACAGGTAACTATGAGGATGACGAAGACTATGAAGAGAAAACCAAAGATGTAATAGAACTGGTTCAGCCATATCGATGTCAGGATGAAGAAGAGCTCAATGAAAACGGCACCGAACGGAAGTATGCCCCCGATCAGTACAGAGAAAGCTGGCTGCATGTACCAGGCCAGAGCAGGTATCTGCCTGGGTATTTTGTTGGTCCTTACCGGATCCTCGATTGCTGGCTTCTTGAAGCCCAAATAACTACCAACAAAGACGAGGGGTACGGATATACCAAACCATAGAAAGACCAACGCAAACATGGTACCAAATGGTACGGCACCGGATGATTTCTCCCCCCAGATTAAAGCATTCAACATGAAGAATATGCCGAAAACGATACCAGGAAACATGAATGCAGTTTTCAAGGTGATCATTTTCCACTCTGCACCTTTGAACATTTTATAGAGGCGGGCTGACGAATACCCAGCGAATAGGCCCATAAAAACCCACAAGAGAACCATAGCAGTCATCAGACCCCCCCGGTTGGATGGGGAGAGGAAACCTAACGATGCAAATATCATAGTGACCAGGGTCATTCCAAAAAACTGCACACCTGTTCCCACATAAACACAAAGCAGGCCAGAGTTACTCGGTGGTCTGAAAACATCACCGTGGACTAATTTCCATCCAGTTTCTTCCTGGGCCTCATCCTGTGTCTCTAACTGATTGTAGTTAGCTATATCTCTATAGAGGGTTCTCATCATAATCATGGCTACCATGCCAGACAAAAAAAGAACTATCATTAATGAATTAATGATAGAAAACCAGTGGATTTGGTCATCATTCATAAGAAGATAGGTGTCCCAACGAGAAGCCCATTTGATTTCACTTGGCTGCACGAGACAAACAAAAAGTAAATCTACTAAAAGAAAAAGAGGGTAAGCACAAGTGCATACGCACCTGGAAGGTGACATCATATGAGAATACGTTATATGCATCTGCAGCTACTTCTTGGGGCGTATTGCTGCTTGGAGTTATTTTGGTACTTGGCATGCATGTATGCACCTTAGGGTTTTTCTCATCCCAGTCAGTGTATTCGTGCTTTACACTGTTTGCAAAAGAAAGATGAAAATGGCAACTTAAACAGCAGGTTTAGGAGTAGGGTGATATGATGAATTAGGTGCGCTTGACAATTGTCATGTATTAAGTCGCTTCAGGAGCAGGGTAACAAGTTAAATGGGTGTCAACTCATCAACCAGCAAAAATTATTCAATATTAGGTTATGCAAGATGCCAAGATGGTATAGAATTCAATAGGCCCCTTTATCTCTCGTGGAGACAAGTACAGCGGCAGCCTGGTTCAGAGTTATGGGGCATAGGACGCAAGGCTTGTGGCCAAAATGCTAGAATAAAGAATCATAAGATATATAATACCAAAATACTATAGACAATTCAAAGACTTTTTCCAGTGTAAAAGATGAAAAAAGAGGAAAGTTCATATATAACACATTAAACACCAACATAATAAGCTCTTAAGCTTTAACTAAAGTTCCAATGTTATCATTGGATTACCCTCTTTTCTGGTATGTACACAACTTCAACACCGTTATTCACTTGTGTCTCCATTATTGTACTGGTATTTTTGTAATTTATTATTTTTCAACATTGTAATGGTTTTTCTGTAATTTATATTTTGCCACTGTTGTACTGACCTTTTCTATATCGGGTGGGTTTGATGGCGAATGTTGAATCACTTTTTTATGAAGAAATTGTACTACACTAACATTTGAATTGTACAACAAAAATTCTCCCAAAGCCATGTCGAAATTTGAAGGCATCTATTACCGATCAAAAGAATGCTTATTGTTTGTAGAACTTCAGAAAAAAAGAAGTTTAAATCCTAGAAATGTACACCATGCTTCCCGAGTGATGCTCCCTGCTTTTCACTTAGCTTGATCACATTACATTTTTGCATTAGTTTTGTGGTTATTCTTTCCCATACACATAACTGAAGATCAACTTATTTTAAATGGCTCCCTCTTTCCTGTGCTACTGTTACATACAGCATGCATGATCATAAACCACAGTGAAATGCAAGAACAGGTTGACACTGAAAAGAAATGAACTAAAACATGATCAAAAACATAATTTTGCACAAATCATAAATACCTGCTTGGAATCACCTCAAAGCCAACAATACGAGAATCCTCAGACTCTGGATCTTTATGGTACATGACTCTGAAACTTAGGTGGTTGTTTATATAATATTTATCGTCCTTGCTCTGTTTACAAAATCCACAAGGTACTTATCATAGTAAACCAATCTTCTAACAATTGTACAGCTTCTAATGTAAACTAGCTTGCCTTGTAACCAACGCGAAATCCATGTTCATAAGTTGGTGCTTGACTTCCATCTCTTCTTAGTCTAGGTACCGCAACTGGGAGGTTGTCCAAGATCCTAGAAAGAGCATAAAAAGGGCCAAGTCACTATGCAATCGGCAGGTAAGATTGAATTACAATCAACCAGCTAGCATAAACTTAAAAGATAATAATAACTAAAATAAAAATTTTATACAACTAAAAGAAACAGGTAAAAAGAAATTAGCACCTCACAGCGAAGAAGCAATACTAAATAATAACTCACATGTTAACTCGATATTCATCATCAATTTTTTCCTTAAAGTTCTTTGCAGATTCTGCGGTAAGTTTGGTACGGCAGGATACCTTGCAGGTTTCATCCCTTCTCATTTTAAACTGTGTTTCAAATCACAAAATATCAGGTGAAAAGAAGGTTGAACAGTTATCTTTATGAATCCGGTGAAAACATCAAAGCTAAGTTTGCAGATAGGCCTCCAAATATGAAAATTGTGAAGCATTAGTATGCCATATGAACCTGTACTCACAACGTAAATGGAATTTTCAATGCGATCACCACGAAGAACCTCCCCCAAATTCTCGGCATTGTTCATGATCTTGGAAGGCTTGCAGTAATCCAAGAAATAGAAATCATATGGAAGTTGTGTCTTTGTTGATGAAAGCTTGTTCACTTTGACTTGAAGTTCATCATCCTGTTCAGAAATAGAGAATCACTGGTGACTCACATCAAGTTATTAAATGAATTCACAAGTCAGGCAGAATGTGGCAGATCCAGAAAATGAAACAGTGGTATTCTACGAGCAAACTTGAGAAAGAAGATGAAAGAATCAAGGACAAAGATGACAAGTGATTCACCAGAAATAGAAGATCGTCATATGTTGCACAATGATCTCCAAAAGTAGATCAAAATTCAGATAAATCAATCAGACACGATTCTACTATATGACCGATAGCTATTCTCGCTAAAGGAGACTTAGAACAAGACGGTGGATCATACTCTGAACAATCCCACGGCAATTGGGAATCGAGGAAAGATCCCAACAGTTACCAACACTCGGAATACATGCATCAACACCAACTTTGCCGCATCAACCATGATGACATACTTAGCGGAATCTTTTTGAAAAAGAAACAGGAGATGCACACAGAACATCGAGACCAACAACAACCTTCCACCAAACTGTTCTCCGCGAGAAGAGTGCCAAACCCTAGGAACTCGATTCCAGATCTGATTTAAAGCAATACACCACACGCCTACGCCTTTCAAGGTCAGATCCGACGGAATACAGATGGAAAAACAGGACGAAAACCTAGATATCCGACACGAAAATCGGCTGCGGAAAGTACCTTGTGGAAGTCTCGAGGGGCGACGCCGGGGAGGTAGAAGGCGTGGGACGGAGGGTAGACGAGAAGGCAGGAGAGGAGGAGAATAGCGGCGATCGTGCCGGCGTTCGCCATCGCGACAAGGAGAGCCGGATCGAGATGGCCTCGGTGCGGGTAAATGGAGTTACAAGGGAGCTGAGAAGAGCGGAAGAGATTGGGTGGGGGGATATCGAATTAAAGAGTTGCTGTTATTTATTGAATGTGTGCGTTAATAATAATAATAATAATAATAATAATAAATAAATAAATAAATAAAATAAATAAATAAATAAATAAATAAATAAAAATAAATAAAAATAAATAAAGGATGTCATTTCTCTCTCTTCCTAAAGCATGTCATTTCACAATTGGGCTTCTCCAGCCCAAACAATCAATCACGATTGGGCCTCCTACTTTGCCCCCTTCCCAAGTCATTGCAAATTGCCATCGTCAAAGACCTTTACTTTTCTTCCCCGGAGGCTTTCTCTGGCTGCGCAAGTCATTGTGCTATTCAATTTCCTTCTTCTTACGGTCCCGATTTGCTCGCAAGTCGTACATGGATCAGCTTCGCCATTAAAATACGATTCACGACGACCAAATCTCTTAATCTTGAATCCGGACATACACGGGACATTCATGCACTCCTACACACCCTCCTCCTTCCCCTCCCACCTGCTGCCTGAGATTATAGAGCACGATCACGCCGACCTAATCTCTTCCAGATCGAGTCGATACACTTCATCCATGGATTCCTTCTTTCTCCTTACCGCAGAAGCCCGAGGTCGGTTCCTCCAAATCGCCGGTCGCCTCCTCGGCTGCACTTACGTCTGCGCATGGTCTCCCGATCTCTACCATCCGGCAGCCAAGTATGTGTTCGTCTCTTCAACCTGCAAAACGAGCGGCTGAACTTTTCTAGGATCTAATTTTGGCCTCTACGAGCAGCCACTTGATCTCCACGGATGGATGGCACCGTGAGGAAGACGGCGGTCACGCGAGCTCCTCGTCGGGAACGGGAAGCGTCTCGTCGAGGCTCTTCGACGCCTACCGCAGATGCGTGTGCGGTATCCGGAGAGGGTATGTTTTACTTACATGGAGAAAATGGGTCAGCATCCTCTTCTCGATGGGTCGTGTTGATGATATGGGTAGAGTCTTTCCATTTGTAGTTGCATTCCTGGGTTGGCCTATGAGGGCGGATTGACCTACGCTGAGTTCAGCGGCGATGATTTGATGAACTTGGCCTCGATTCACGTACAAAGGCAGTTCTACCAGGTGATCGATCTACTTCAGCTATTCTCGTAACAGTTTTAAGTGTACTAAAAGAAATGCCTAATTTGGGTGCAATTTCGTTGTTTCAGGAAGCTGGAATAAAGGTTTGTAATCGTTAGATCACTTCCCTCTTTATCCCCACAGGATTCTGTTTGACGCACTGATTCTGTGCATGACAGACGGCAGTGTTTGTGGGGTGCAGAAGCGGAGAAATCGAGTTAGGGATGACGACGCCGCCGAATGTAATGGATCGTATCAATTCCATCTTCCGTATTGATTGAGATCTTTGTTCTTATAAGGTTCGTTTGCAGCTAGAACTGCAGATGGATATCTGCCAGGTTTTCGGTGAAGAGTTCATTCGACGGTGGCAATTACAATCAGGCGATCACCTGATACCGCCGCCCGAACAGAGTTGGCGCTCGTCCTCCTCCTCGTCGCTGCGGTCTCCATCGGCGGGAAGTCCCGAGAGCTCGTCTCTTCTCCCGACCATAGCAGGTGCCGCCGCTTTCATGCCTGACGTGGTTCTGCCGCACCAAATGGCCATGCCAACCTACAACCTTATGTCTTTGCCGTCCTCCTCTTCTTCTCCGCTCATGTACCAGCAATTAGTGCTGCAACGACACCATCCGAGTGGGGCATTCGAGGCTTACAATCCGACCGGTGCTATGAGAGTCGAGGCCACGACGAACGTGGCTGGCCAAAGAATGATTAAGAAGGGGTTCGACGTGCTGAGAAGCATAAGCACGGCGAGGATGGAAGCTCCGACGCAGGAACACCGGCCGACAAGCGACCAGTTGCACCATATGATATCGGAGCGCAAGCGTCGGGAGAAGCTTAATCAAAACTTTCATGCTCTCAGGCTGCTTCTTCCGCCGGGGTCGAAGGTACAAATTAGCTGGCAATTAACGTAGATTAGATCTCCGTAATGCGTGGGTTTTCCCAAAGATCCAGGAACTCATTCTCTTTTCTGGATTCCGCACCTCACAGAAGGACAAGACATCAGTGCTGGCAAACACGAAGAACTATCTGAACTCCTTGAAAGCTCGAGTCTCCGAGCTCCAGGAGAGGAACCAAATGCTAGAACTGCAGTTTCGGCCTACCGACGACGCCGATGGAGTTACCGATTCAGATGAAGGAGTACGAGTCGAGATCAGCCGATCCGGCGCCGACGACTCTAACGCATCAGAATCCCAACAAATCAACCTCAGGCTGGTCGTAAGGGAAGAATGTGACATGACAGATTTGGTCGTCCGTACACTCGAATGCCTGAAAGGGATGAGCAAAGACGTGACGTTGGCATCGGTGGCCGCGAGCACGATGCCGCCACGGAAGTATACATGTGCAAGATTCAACCTCCGGCTACGAGAAAAGGTATGGGTGTTGAGCAAGTCTTCTCTATCTTAATAACTGCGCAAATGAGAACTGTTTACCGATCTTCTTCTGTGAGGAAAGGAGAGTTCAGCCGCGTAGTAAAAGCTGAACAGCTAACCCATGACCGATAAGACATCTTTTCTCCGGCTGCTGTGGTGGTTGCTACTTGCTACTGCTACATCGGTGCATGGATGGCTTGATGAACTAATAAGATTCAAACGCTTGCCTACCTTCACACGCCCGGGATGTAGGAATGCACGAGCTGGAGACATTACAGGAAGCTTCCTTGGGAACTATCACCCAACACTGGCCTTTCGTCTTTTAAGGAGAAAAAGGTTATGGGTTTAGTCTTTAAGAGTGAGGAAGTCTAAGTTGTTTGGTGTAACAACAGGTGGGTGATTGGGACGAGGCGTCGTTCAAGGAAGCTGTGGCCAGAGCTGTCGCTGATGTGCTGGGACGAGGAGCAACCGCGAGCCCGTCACGATCTTCACCAGCCCATCGATCTTGACCAATCGCTTTTGATTCGATGGCTCAGTAGTAGCAGCAGCAGCAGCAGCATGATGGAGCCCAATTCTATTATTCTTATCAGAGTCATACAATGCCACAGATGTTATTATGCATCGTGGCAGTACAATTGTTGAGGAGAACATGAGACGGCGGGTTTGACTGGGTGATAAAGTTTGTTCGTTGTGTTTTAGCCTTTTCCTTGTGCGATTCAGCATTTCCACTCGCCTTCTCTAGTCAACATCGTGCATGGTCCCAACCTCGGCCATTCTTCTTGGAGAGTCTACAGCTACAAAATATGAACATGAATTTGATGGCGTTAACAGCCTTTGATACTATCGAGAATTTCCTCTCTTTAGCCGAATTAATGTACTATTGCCTCGTGTGGAGGAGAACTAATATCACTTGTTTAGAGAGAGAAATCCAAAAATAAGAGAGGAGAAAGAAACTCAAAACCCTAATATTTATAAAAATATATATATGATAATAAATAAAAGAATAGTAACTAGAAGAACTTCAAGAGTTCTCTTTATTCCTCACCCATATTGTATATTTTATTGATATTAAAAATCTATTAATAATAAATTTAAATCAAATTGATGGTTCATATATATATAAAGTCAAACATCAATCAAATTACGGATGAAACTCAATATATATGTCACTTGGCTTTCTCAATATCTATCTATGAGACTATTCTTCTAATCCTCTCTTCAATCATTTCTCACATAACAATTTGAGTTAAAATCCATGATAGATATCAAACCAAAAAACTTATCCACGACTTCATGTTTAAGTAAACTCGAGCTCTAAATAATATTTAGTTTTAATCATAATCAAATTCAGATTCCTATAATAATAATAATAATTATTATTATTATCTTAATAGTAAATCGATCTACTCTTCCCCCTTTTTTTCTATCTGGTGAAAAATCTTTAATTCTCATTTTAATCCTCATAAAAATATTACTCCTATTATAAAATATATGATTCATTTCGGCGTTCGTGCATCACGGCCCACTAGCTAGCCATTGAATCGTAATGACCCGTGTCAGTAGGAAACGGACCTACAGAGCGGATAGGTTGTTCGCCATTCCACCATGTGGTAGTCGCTGAGTCGCATTGCCAGCTATACCGGAATCTTGCAACCGACTCTTCCAGATGGCAGTTCTACAATCTTGTTCTTCTATTTTACCCTTTATTCCCGTTGCTGGAAGACTCGCGTCACAAGTGGAGCAAAAGAGCACAGCTCTCAATTAGCATCGGACATTACGATGATGCCGAAACATCACTCGTGCCAAAAGAGAGGGACTTAACCTAATGATATTGCCACAGAATCAAACATGAACCGATAATTAAAGTGCACTCCAGCTATGTTTAAAAGAAATAAAAACTTAAATCAACTAAACATTTCATCCGATAATAATCCATAAAAATGTTAAATATAAGAAGCATGATAAAAAATTTTATTAGATAATCAATAACGTTAAAAGTATAAGCTGTTAGGAAACGACATGCAACATATATATATAATTCATAACTAAAATGCAAAAATTATGGCACAAACTAAAATAAGTAGACACGCCTACAGCAGTAGTGATCGATGCAAATTGTAGAAACAAGTGGTAGGCATACGAAGAGAGACACTTACTTTGTCATCTCGAAGACTGCACAGACGCGGGAGCAGATCCGAAAGCGGCGTAGCACGGCCCCTCCGCCTCCACGAAAGCGTAGTCGGTCCGCCTCAGCGCCGCGTGTACCACAACCAGGAGCAGGCCGACCGACAGCGATGTCAGTATGTTGGCCGTCGCGTTGGTCTTCAGCAACGGAACCAGCGTCACCACCGCTAGGCCCATCAGGACGACCCGGTCCCTGATAACCCAGCCGAGGACGACGAGGGGCTCGCCCCGGAGGAAGTAGAAGAACAGCCAGGCGGCCATGGAGGCGACAAACACGATGAGGGAGAGAGGGTGCCAGAGGAGGCTGAGGAAGACGAAGAGGAGGACGATGATGGCATAGTTCATGGAGAAGTGGGCGGCGTTGGTTCGGGTCCGAATGTAGGCCTCGCCGAGGCCGGCCGGGCGGCCGAGGGCGCGGACGTCGGCGAGCTCCCGCCAGGGACACCACGTGGTGAGCGATACGAAGCCTGGAGAGGAGGTGGAGATCGGGAGCGTCTCGTAGGTCGACATTTCCGGTGAAGGAATTGGAGGGAGGAGGAGGAGAAGAGATTCCTGAAGCCGAAAGACGAGAAAGATAGAAATAGGTGAGAACGAGATAACTGCAACCATGCTTTTATATGCAACGGCTCGATTCCGTTGTATTAACAGCCATTAGTTGGACCAACAGCCATCGTCGAATGCGGCACGTCGTGATGGGCCCAATTTAAATTCAAGATGGAAAGTTTACGGAAAATGTTAATTTGAATTCAACATCGAATACGGAAAAATCCCGCTTTACAGATGACGCTGACGTGGGAACGTCCGATTTGTCAGCGGAGATGAAGACGAACTATAGCAGCGCCGTACTCCAAGCATTGCTGTCCTACGATGGCACGTACGTCTCCTTCATGGTCTGAAACCTAGCCACTTTGTCGGAGAACTTGAAGGTAGTGTAGCGATTGGGGTACACAAGCTTCGGAGCTGGAGAAATGACGGCATCAGCGACGGGATTGTAGAACGTAGCAATGGAAGGCCGACTCCCGTACTTGACCGCAAGAACTCGGTGACGAACGCTCTTGTAGATTAGATGCCGTTGCTCACCACCTCCACTTGATACCCACTCCTCATCTCGGAAGAACTCCAAACCCGGCACCTTGTCATCACGGAGCTTGTCGGATGATTTCGACGGCACCGGTGTGGGCTCGAAGCCCCAGGACGTGCTTCGGCTGGGAGCACTTTGGGTACATCTCTACCTTCCTTCCTAATATTATGAAAGAGATAATAAATATTCGATAAGTATTTATACATATTTGGAGGGAGAGATTTTTTCTATCATGATCAATCAGTTATTCAAATATGAGATTTTTTCTATTATGATTTTCTATCATGCCCTCGAGTGAACTTCTGTCGAGCATATCAATTTTAGACCGATGTAATTGAAATATTTTATGGGTGAAAGACTTTGTGAGGAAGTTTGCTAGTTGATCAATATATACGTGAGAAATACGTAGTTGATATCTGACAACTTGATCTCTAATAAAATGGAAGTCAATGGCAATGTGTTTTATGCATGAGTGGAATATTGGATTGACACATAGGTAGGTAGCACCAACAATATTACAATATATTATATGAGTGAATTTAAAGTTAATGTCAAATTCTTGTGATAGATTAGTGACCCAATTAAGTTCTGTAGCAATGATGTTGATGACTCAGTATTTAGTTTCAGATGTGGACCTTACGACTAATTTCTACTTCTTAAAAATTCAATTAATTAGATTTGTTCTAAAGAAGACAAATATACCATGCGTAGATGTCCTATCATCAATATTGCCTACCCATTCAACATTAACGAAGGCATGAAGATGAAATAATGAGTGTTTATAAAGAAAAAAATTCATGATAAAGCCTCTTTTAGATATCATAGGACTTATTTTACTACAAATCAATTAATAGTGGAGGGTCGATGCTTAAATTATGATAATTTGTTGATTGCAAGTGAGATGTCTAGATATGTGAGGGATAAATACCGTAAGGAGCCAAGAATTTGTGGGATTGTATGGGATCCGTAGTAGGGCTACTATCATATAATTTGAGTGACTTAGTAGTAGAGAGTGGAATGACTTCTTTAGCATTTTGCATATTTATCTTTGATAGTAGATCTTGAATATACTTCTTTTGAGATAGAAAAAGTTTATAAGATGTGTATGTTATTCACTCCCAGAAAGTAATTTTAAGGTTTCTAGAGCCTTAACGGAGAATCCATCTATCACTTGCTTGAAGAATTCCTTGATCTATATAGGTTTATTTCTTATAACGATAGTGTCATTCACATACACTAGAATATATATAATACTTCCATTTTATTGTCGTAGAAATAATGAGATCTTAGGCTTAGAGTTGATGAAGCTAGTTAATGCTAAAAACAAGTCAAGTTCGGTATACCAAGTTTTGAAACTTGATGAAGTCCATAAATAGCTTTTTATAGTTTATAAACATGGCTTGAACATTAAAGATGGATGAAGCTATGAGATTACTATATAAAGATATCTTCAATTAGGGTCCCATGTAAGAAAGCATTATTAACATCCAATTGTTGTATGTGCTAGCCTTTTGTGATAGCCAAACTCAAGATAAGTTTAATTATTATCAATTTAACAATCAGACTGAATGTCTCTATGAAAATGTCTGGTCGTTGGTGAAATCCTTTTGGCCACTAGATGTGCTTTGTATTTATTAACGGATCCATTTGGGTTTCGCTTAATTTGAAAGATCCACTTACACTTGATGATATTTTATGTATGATGTGATTCACACATGACTTTATGCTAATGTAAAGATTTTTGGGCTTTGGTGATGGTTGTGGGTTCAATGGGCTCAAGTGGAGAATTTATGATAACATGGAGGTCAAAGATTTGATGTGATTCGAAAATGTTACTTTTGGAGCTTCTTGTCATATGATGCCAAGCGCGATGGTATTTTGAGGTTGTGTTGTAGGTATAAGAATTATTGAAGAGTCATTGACACGTACTTGATCAGGCTGATGCACTTTAGTATCACTTGGCCGAGGGGAGGACAAAGACATCAGTTGTGGTGCTAAGGGTGTTACTTTTGTTGGAAAATCTAGAGCAACATCATATGTGTAGCGAAAGAATAGAAAACTAAGTTATAGATTTCCCACAGAAAAGATTTCATCGTTGTATGAATATTGGTACGCAAAAGCTATAAAACTGAAAAACTACGCGTATATGAAAGATATGTTACTTAAGGAGATCGTATATCCCTAAAATCCTATATATCTCTGGGAGAGGATAAATGATGTCAACTGTCCTCCTCTCTAATAATGATCCACATGGTAGGGGCTACGAAGATGCTCCTCAAATCGTTGCACAATCATTCTTTTCCACGTGGACCACGCGATCAAGAAAGGGCCAACCCTTCTTGTTGTCCACATGCCCCAAACTAGGGTTGTTGGGTGAGGACAGGGAGAGAGGAGTATAGGAAGTGACAACCAAAATGGATCTGGCCTATGTGCTAATCATAGGTGCCTTATAAGCTAATCACGTGAGTGATCACATGTGTGACATGATACACACTCTTTTTTGTTTATTATTTATTTGATATTTTTTTTACTTTATATTATATGTTGTATATATTATGATGTTCATGGATCTGTGCAATAAGAATCGGATCGTGATGAGATTATGATAATGAGACTGATTCGTCATTAAACACAGACCCTGAATAATTTCGAACGTAGGTTACTCGAGAGTGACATCGAGATAACCAGATAGACTAGTGTACTGTATACCCACCCATATGATAAAGGTGACTGGTCTCATAGTTGCTCATGTGGGGATACTAAGGATACGGTGTTCATTGGAGAATTAGTTCACTAATCGATCGGCTCACGGAATGTTAAATAGTTGATGATACCTCACTATTAGACAGTAATTCCATCATCTCAATGGTGTATCTGGTCCTTAGACTTGAGACACCAAAGATATTCTATATAGGTATTCCATTCTTTAATACTAGACTTATAAGCTTGGAAGTTATAGATCTAGCACAATCGGTTATCGGGAGTGGCAACCAACCTTACGAGAGCTATTTAGTATCAATAGAGGAACATCCACTCTTGGTATCACGAGAGGAATATTCTTTATATTCTTGCTCAAACAAAACTCTAGCAAGGGTCATTCAGATTGAGAGAGAAAGAGTTCTCCAAGAGAATTTGATTAGAGCGAGGCTCGAGTAGAAATCATATGAGCCTAACAACACCATGCCCAAAATACGATCTCTAGGATATTAGATGGATGAAGAACTATAGATAAATGATAACTGAGGATAGACAAGTCCAATAGATTGAATTCCCTTGTATCGTCTAGGGAATACGACGTAATGACCTAATACGTCCATAGTTGATAAATCAAGTGAATTATTATAGAGATAATAATTTACTAAGCTAGAAGGAGTTTTGACAGGTATAACTCATGACTAGCTTGATATTGGGCCTAGAGGGTCATAAACATATGGTATGTGTTACGACGAGTAGAGGTTCAGATATGAGATGTTCACCGGAGCCCCTATCTTATTGGATATCCATTAAGCCATTGAATTATTGGATCCTATATATGAGATCTAATAAGAGTCAATGAGAGATTATTGGGTAGAAATATACTAATCTAAGAGGCTTGGGTAGTTAGATAAAGATCTAGTACACAATAGGATAAGATCCATTGGGGTAAGTTTATAGGGACCTCTATAAATAAGAAGGAACTAAAGGACCATATGCCAGACCCCTTTTGGCTGTCACCTCTTATACTCCTCTCCTCCACCCCTTCTCAACCAATAGCTATAGTTGGGAAATGTGGATAGCAAGAAGGGTCAACCCCTTCTTGATCGCATGAAAGGAGAATTATGCAGCGATTTGAGGAGCGTCTTCGTAACCCCTATCTTGTAGATCACCGCTAGAGAATAGGATAGTTGATCTCTTTCATTCTCTCCCATAGATTTGTAGGATTTTAAAGATATACTATCTCCCTGGGTAATATATATCCCTAACATCCCTAAACTGTGTGTTGTATTCAATCGCGTAGAATTATTCTTACGTGATTGCTACAATTTTTCTCGTAGTTTATAAATCTGGACTGCACAACACTCTTTATCATAGTTCAATCACGATTTTTGTACGATTTATTATGCTTGGTTGGTCATTCATTAGCCATATTTATCGTAGCTCATCGGACATCCGAAGGCCATAAAATTAATTACACCAGAATCAGTAGACCAGAAGGAATGCACCTTGGTTTGTTTAAGCCAAAATGGTTCTGTAATTAGTCAAGTGCTAATCACCAATTCCATGTGATATTGCCACCTTCTGCAATACCTATTTAATTCCCTGTTTACCAGCTGAATGGAAACATTAAGAGTTATCACAGCAAGACTTGTTGTGATTTGCAAGTCACAGTACTAACTCAATCCATGGGAAAGACTGATGGATGATTTCCTTCGTTAATCCATGCACAACCACATCATGCATAGGTGGGTGGATGGCCGATCAGTGCAAGTTGCTATTAGATTACGTTC